CCTTGGCTAATTTTGAGGCTCCTGCCTTTATTTGCAGATAAGTTACAGCTGCCAGAGACAACCATGGCTTTCAATGGGAAAGGGGGGGGGGGGGGGGATCCTGGAGATTGCATGGGCCAGGATATCCTGATTCTCTACATATTTGGCACTGCAACTCCCATGATTGTCTTGAAGTTGATGGCCAATTTTGAGACTCCTAAATTCAATTTCTGAGGAATTATGCTTGCCATGGATGGACAGGTCTCCCTGGTGTACCTCCTTTGTTTGCAGGGAATATTTATGCCTGCTGCATTAGGAAGAAGAAGAGGAAGAGGAAGAGGAAGAGGAGGAGGAGGAGGAGGAGGAAGAGGAGGAGGAGATTGGATTAATACCCCGCCCTTCATTACCCAAAGGTGTCTCAGAGCAGCTTACAAACTCCTTTCCCTTCCCCTCCCCACAACAGACACCCCGTGCGGTAGGTGAGGCTGAGAGAGCTCTGACAGAAACTGCCCTTTTTCAAGAATACCTCTAATAGAACTATGGCTTGCCCAACATCATCCAGCCAGGTGCAAGTGGAGGAGTGGGGAATCAAACCCAGTTCTCCCAGATTAGAGTCCGCGCACTTAACCACTACACCAAACTGACTGACTACACCAAAATGTGACTTCTCTCATCTGCCAAGAGTGGACTGGCCATTTAACTGACAGGGAAATATCCCAGTGGGCTGCTGTCCTGGAGCATCACTGGCCATTGGCAATCCTAGTGCTGCAGGGTCCGCTGCTTGGCTACAAACCTCAGTAGCAATGTTGATTGGAGTCAGCTCACTGACTACCTCTTCCCACCCTGCTACCAGTATTTTTTTTGGGGAGGCAATGGGTTAGCCAATACCTTTTGTTAGCACTGCAGGAGCCGGTCAGCCTTGTTTGTTGCAGGGCCATTTTAATTTCTGCCTCTGACACCTGCTGGCCAATGTGGCTAAGCCCATTCTTCTATCTCATTCTGTTGCATGCATTGCCTGCCCTAGAAGCATGGGCCAAGAAAATGGAAATTATTTATGCATCATCTCTTGCCATTCCCCTCAACTGTTGGGAATTGCTCTCAGAGAGCACCACCACCTTCATTTAGACTCAGAGGGCACACAGCATAACGGAAAATATGAAGTAGCAAGTACCCATTTCAATTTTTAACCCCCATAGCTGTCATGCTTATTATGTACAATGGCTTTGTTAAATATGCTAAAGGACATCTCCAGAAGCAATCGCACAGCAATTTCAAAATATCCAAGCCAGCAACAACCAGTGATTTCAGTAGGGACATTCTTAAATGGAGGGGGTGAGGGTGGGATCCAGAGTGTAAATAACAGACCATGAAGTCCAGCAAGCCTCAATAACACTTCAGTTCTGCAGAGAAAATTAGGCCCCAGGGAAGATCCCCATCTTATCTAAGCACAGCACAAAATCCCCATCCAAGGTTATTTGCTGCCTCTGCCATTAAAAAAGCCATTTCAGTCAAATTGGAATGATAAATGTCAGTTTAAATTAAATAACCCAGTTTACCAGTGATGAAAATTATTCAGGACAAAACTCCTAACTGGGACAAGTTGCTCTTTGGAGTGGAGCAGAGCTTTGATTTATAGCATAAAAAGCAGCTGTCTTCATAAAAGCTGATAAAATACTCTGGGGATAATTAAAACTTTAATTAAAAATGAGAAGTCCAAATAGCTTTTTATGGTAGCAAGGAAACTTGTTTTGACATCCAGAATTGCCACACAAGCCCGAGGTTCCTTGTATTCTCTCCAGGCTATTTAGATGCTGACATTCAGTTTGAAATGTTCTCGCACTCCATCCAAAAGAGAAAATTTGCATTAGGTTTTGAAGTGTTATGGGGACATTTGCTCTACAGCTTAGTCTGAAATTATTAATCTGATCTAGCGGCTGGCTTGTTTGCATGCTAGTGTTGGCAGAATGCTTTCTTTAAATATATAGAAGAAATAAGTCACATCCAGGGAATAAGATCCATCCAGTGCTGCATATGCATAGACAGCATTATATTTGATTTGATTTGATTTATTTAATTTGTTATCCTGCCCTCCCGGCCTAGGGTATAGAAGAAGAAGAAGAATAGAAGAAGAGATTGGATTTATAACCTTGAAGTGAATCCAGTATACTATAGGCAGCTAGTGCAGTCCCTTTAGCATAGGCCGGATGTACTCCCAAATTTTGTACCAGCTTCAGCTTCCGGATTTGCGCCAAGGGCAGTCCCATGTAGAGGGCATTACAGTAATCCAGTCTTGAGGTTACCATCGCATGAATCACTGTTGCCAAGTCGCTGCATTCGAGGAAGGGAACCAACTGCCTAATCAGCCGAAGATGGTAAAAAGCCGAACTGGCAGTGGCTGCTACCTGGGCCTCCATTGTTAAGGAGGCATCCAGGAGCACTCCCAGACTCCTAACCTCCGGTGCTCGCACCATTGGTGCCCCATCGAAGGTCAGAAGTGGGATTCCTACCCCCGGACCACCATGGCTCAAGCACAGGACCTCCATCTTCATTGGATTCAATTTCAGCCAGCTCAGCCTAAGCCAACCAGCCACAGCTTGTAACGCTCAGTCCAGATCTTCTGGTTTGGAGTCGGACTGGCTGTCCAACAACAGGTAGAGCTGGGTGTCATCCGCATACTGGTGACAACCCAGTCCATGCCTCCAGGCAATCTGGGCAAGAGAGCGCATATAGATGTTGAAATGCACTGGGGACAACACTGCCCCTTGGGACACTCCACAATCCAATGGCTGCCTTCGGGACAGCTGATCCCCCAGCACTACTCTTTGTCCCTGACCTTGGACCCAGTGTCGGTGAGGCAGTGGATCAGTAACTGATGGTCGACCATGTCAAACGCGGCCGACAGGTCTAACAGCAACAGTACTGCCGATCCGCCCCAATCCAGATGCCTTCGGAGGTTGTCTGTGAGGGCGGCCAGTGCCATCTCCGTCCCATGACCCAGACGAAAGCCAGTCTGGAAGGTGTCTAAAATGGAAGTGTCATCCAGAAAGCCCTGTAACTGCTTTGCCACTGCTCTCTCTATTATCTTGCCCAAATAGGGCAAGTTGGAAACCAGCCGATAGTTGGCCAATTCGGCCAGATCCAAAGATGGCTTTTTCAGAAGGGGCTGCACCACTGCCTCCTTAAGAGCCTCTGGGAACTGTCCCTCTAAGAGAGAACTGTCCCTGTAATGGGAGAACTCCAGATCCCACCTGGAGGTTGGCAACCCTGTTTGTGTACTGATTACAGCTAGGCACAGATACATGACTTTTGAGGGTCAAGGTAGTCTACAATATTGCTATTATCTATACATAAAATATAGCAGCTCTCTGAGCAATGAGAGGTGGTTTCACTTCATTTCTAGTGCAAAATATAGTCTGGAGGGAAAACACCCTAACTTCAAAACAAAGAAGTCCCATGACAAAAGTGCTGCCATAATGGCTTATAAGAGATGCTGATCAGTTCAGAGACAAAATCCATTTTCACTGACCGAAATTGCCTTCTAAGTTATTTTAGTGCAAATTTCTCTAGGAAACAAAATGGCATAAAATAAGGCAGGCTCATGAAGCCTGTTATGAAACAACACTGCCTCCTTGTGTCGTTTCTGGGCCGTACTAAAAGAACTGTTTCTTAAGACGCTCAATATTTTTTTTATTTATTCATGTTATTTGTATTCTGCCTTTCTCACAGGGACTCAAGACAGATTACACATGGTGAATCAGTATAGTCAACAAAATGGGACATTCAATAGCTAGTGCGTTAGGATTTTAGAAATCTGAAGCCACCAGAAAGAACTGAAGCACAGCATAAGTATTAGCATGACACATTAAGTGGGACCCCTGACAGACAGATGGTCTGATTCAGTATAAGGAAACATCATGTGTGAATAGCTATTATTTGATGATGATTATTATACCATGTTTTTGTGATTTTTAATCTGGGTGGGGTTTTTTGTTTGGTTTAGTAGTCTTGTACGCCACCTTGAGTTCCTTCAGGGAGAAAGATGAGTCAGAAGTTTAAAAATAAAAACTTGCTCACTGTCCCCACATTTTACAAATGCAAGGCCACCAATTTTATAGCATCCATTTCAGGCATAGTTTGAGCAATCTATCAAGCACAGGAACCATGCAGTGCTGGAATGCTCCAGATTGGATTGTCTAGGCATGGAGCGTCCCATATAGTGTTGCCAGGCTAAATTGACCCAGCAGCAGGGAAGAAGGAGGGACTTTCCGGGAGTGCGAGGAGCACGCAACATAATGATATCATGCAAAAGTGATGTCATTGTATCATTGACACCATGCAGTGATGCTCTACTATTTTGGGCAAAACTCTATACTTACCATAGAGTTTTGTCCAAAACCCAGAGCGTAACCCCGTGATAACATCACTTCCGTGTGACATCATCAGATCGTGTTTGGGGTGGGATTTGAGGCAGAGAAGAGGCCCAAAAATTGGGGGATCCCCCTGTTACTCAAAGACAGCTTTATTAAATAAATATCTTGCCTTTGCTTTGATTGCGGAATTTGCTACAAAAGCAGAACTAGCAAGAGTCTGGGGTATAGCGTGGATCTGCTATCAGTTTTTATGGAGATAGTTCCCTTTAGACCCTTAGTTTATGGCAATAACCAGTCCAAACGGTAACAGAAATGGGTTTTATTTAATAATAGTAATAGTCTAGATATTTACATTCAGATCAGAGGCTGCAAGCATACAAGAAGATATAGCAAATGGTTAGCAGACAAGATAGGGGAGGTTGGGGAATGTCAGGACAATACTATACCTATCCGGAAGAGATGAAGGAGTCCAAGGTAAGATGAGAGGAGATGCGTGTACCGACCATCGAGACTAAGAGGACCTGAGTTGTGTTCAGGGGTGTTCGCTTTGTGTGAGCCCAGCTAAAGTCACACTGGGCATGTGCAAGACTGGGTATATTTATACCCCAAAATGTATTCTGAAGGTATGTTAAAGTGTGGTAGCTAGTTTCACAATGGATTGATGGGATTCCCATTGTGGAATAATAGGATGATCTGGTGTTTCCTTGGTACCAGACAAAGGAGGAGAAGATCCTTAATGGTTGATAGGATGAAGCTGAATGGATTACCATTCTACAGAAATACAGAGTCAACGTTTACCTTGATGGGTCTGGCATAGGTGAGAGAAATGCAGATATCTTGGACAAACAGATAGGTGTAGAAACCAAGAGGATATTTCCTGATTTCCAGGGTGTGAAAGGATTTGGGAGAGGAAACATACAACATATTCCATTCATGATGGAGACACAGTGACCAGTGGCTTATCGTCTCTGTCTGCCTGTGCATTTGACAAACAAAAGACCTGACATCTGGTCAGGAGACTGTGCTTGAGGCAAGAGCTTAGGTTTGTCCATCCTTTGTCTTTATGGACTGAGCAGAGAACGGGGGGTCACATGGAGGATGTCTGACCATGCAGCTGGCCTGGCATTTGGCCAAAGCTTTCCCAGCTAAAATGTGGTTCTCCTAGTCTCCCAACAAAAGCCAATGTTTAAGCCAGGCCTGGCTTTATGAGGGCACTGCTTGTGGAGATTCAGAGGTTGATTTGGGGGTGTTTCTCTCTCAGGAAAAATCACCCCAGGTACTGGGTCTGTGCTGCTGGTTACAACTCACCCCCAACTGGGGAATGGCATCCCTAGCCCCATAAGAAAGTGTGTATCCTCTTTAGCCTATATTCATACAGTTGTTATGTTTGACTCATACTTGTGTATATTTATATATCTTAGTACAAAACATTCTACAGTGAAAAATAACAACAATCTCTGTTGAAATAGTACAAACAATAGATAGAACAAGGGATAGGGGAAAATGTCCAGTGAAACTTTCCAGATCTGTGTAAATAGATCACAAGGTCCCAGATGGGCTATGTCCCTCATTGCGTCCTTAAAGACTCTCTCCACATCAGTTCATTCTAATAGGAAACCACTAGAAGTTTTTACAAAATGGGTTAATGTTTTTAGTAGGAGAGAAAACCTGCTGTCAAAGTGAAAGCTGCTAACAAATGCCAAGTCATAATTTTTCTAAGACACCATAAGGACCTAGCGTACTTTCTTCAGAAGGAAGCTCATTATGAATAAAAAATTATAGCTTCCACATAAACGATTTCTTGTTTTTTTCTGTTATTAGGGGTTTTTTTTTAAGAAAGGGGTAATTAATTGTAAATATGTGAATAAATAATATATTCAGTGATAGATTTGAACAAACTGATCTACATCTGGTAAGCATTTCCCATGACCATATCATCCAATCACTGGCTCCATTACAAATCGACAGACTTCATACTTGCCACTGCTTCTACTAAGGGAGCAGGAGGTACTGGGTTCTGCTCAGCTTCTTCTAGTAACTTGACAATTCGCACACAATTTTCCTTCTTTGGTAACCAGAAGACAGGGTACAGTGGTTCAACAAACTTGCATTCAAATGTATGCAGAAGAGTCATGGTATCCAAAGTGATGCCATAAAAGGAAAGGTTGCCCCTGGAGTAATCCAAATAGACTCCTATCCTGCCAAATCCCTGGGTTTTCAGAGACATCTCCACATCGCTGTGCCAAGCTGAGAACTCCTTGCCATTCCATTTAAGACACCAGGAGAAGTTATTCCCTGAGATACAGCTGTTGCTTTCGGAACCTTTCCTGTCAATGCTCTTGTACGTCATGCCAACGTGAACACCAGCCCCCGAGATCTCAACTTCAAAGTAGTAGCGCCCAATATACAAACTCTTCCCTGATAGAACTTGGCGCCAGTTCTGAAATCGCTCTGTGTGATCTAGGTACGGGTGCTCCCATGGTGTGGTGTTGGTGACTTTATGGTTGTCATCCAATAGCCTCAAGTACCGATGAGCTGTAATTGGGTCAAATGTTAATGGAATGGCATCTAGAGAATGGGAAAAATAGTTTTTGCTGTCAGAAATAGTATTATTTACCAAACAAGTATCTCAAATTTATACATGCAAGGACCAATACTAGACTTTACAATAACAGCTAACTATGAAGATTTCATACATTTTGTTCTGGCTGCAACATACATAATTTAAGAGAATCTTGATTTTGTTAATGCTTAAAGAAACTTTAATACTTCACATACTGTAAATAAGCTTATTTAAAGACAGGCTCATACCAAAACCACCCGTCTGTCTCTTGAATATATACATGATATGGTTAATGGATTTCCCCGCCCACTGTTGGGTGAAAATGGAGAAGATCTGATGGCGGACAGAGAGAAAGCAGAAAGGCTTAATGCCTATTTTGTCTCAGTTTTTTTTCCTGAAGAAGGGAACAGACTCATCTAGAGATGGTAGTAGGCAAGGCATAGCATCCGGGCTGCTGGTTGACATGGACGGAGAGGTAGTTGAGGAGCACTTGGCTGCATTGAATGAGTACAAATCCCCTGGGTCACATGGTATGCACCCAAGAGTGCTCAAAGAACTTTCTAGAGAGCTTGCAGACCCTTTGTCCATTATCTTCCAGACCTGTAGGAGGACAGAAGATGTGCCACAAGACTAGAGGAGGGCAGATGTTATCCCAATTTTTGAAAAAGCAAGGATGACCCAGGAAACTACAGGCCAGTCAATCTTACCTTTCTCCCAGGGAAATTACTGGAGCAGATTTTAAAGGGATTCATCTGCGAGCATCTAAAGGACGACTTGGTGATCTGGGGAAGTCAGCATGGATTTCTCTCCAACAAGTGCTACCAGACCAACCTCATTTCCTTCTTTAATTGAGTGATGAGCTTACTGGATCAAGGGAATGCTGTTGATGTTGTTTACCTGGATTTCATTAAAGCTTTTGACAGGGTTCCCCATGATGCTCTGATGGGTAAACTAGAGGACAATGGACTAGACTCTAGGAAAGCTAGGTGAATAGGGAACTGGTTGGAGAACTACACTCAAAGGGTGATTCTGCACTAGACCTTCAATCCTGGTTCAACTCTGTCCCCAAACTAACATTCTACACTACACTCAACTTCACCCCTGTAATTATCTCAGGGTATTTTTTATTTCCACATAACATTGAGGTAACCCTGGTTTCACCCCACACTTGTTTCAGGGTAAACAAATGCTGTTATAACCAGGGATAAATGCAAGGTATTGTGTTGCGAATTGAACTCTAATAAAACCAGAGATGAGATCCAAGTGTGGAAAGGACCAAAGAGCAGTTGTCAATGGCATTTCATCTGAATGGAGGCAGGTGTCCAGTGGGTTGCCACAGAGCTCAGTTCTGGGCCCGGTACTTATCAATATTTTTATAAGTGATCTGGATGAGGGTCTGGAGGGGCTAGTCATTAAATTTGCAGATGACACCAAACTGGGAGGAGCAGCGAACACACCAGAAGATAGAGATAGAATTCAATGAGATCTGAACACACTGGAAAAGTGGGTGGATGTGAACAAGATACAATTTAACAAGGATAAGTGCCGAGTTCTACATCTGGGTAACAAAAATGAAGAACACACATACTGG